TGCTGAACGGGCATTATCTGCTGGGTTCGTTTTGTCACGGCACAGCTTTTAAGGAAAGGGGAAGGAGAAAAAGTAGAGGCATGAAGGGGGTCTGTTAAAAAATGGAAGAAATGAAAAGTGGCGTCATTGGTGGATTTGAGGATTAACATCATCTATAAGCGATGCTGACAGTGGAAAGAATCACAAGCAGAGAGGCTTGTGTGTGATGCAGCAAGAAAAGGAGAGATGCAACGAGCAAGAAGCTAAAAGAAAGGACAAAGCGGTCAAAGCAGCGAGCCAGGACAATAATTTTTGGAGGAGCACTGTGAATGCATATAAAAAGCAGAGGAAGATGGGATTTCTCAAAGGAAGCGGCTGCAGGAGCTCAGGGAAAAAATGATGAAAGCCTGTGTAACGGTTCTGTGTGAACAGTGGAAATGAAAGATTAAAGATCTAACCTAACGCCGCAGCAATGCCCAGCGGCCGATCGTGCTGGAGTCCTACTGCAGCGAGCTGTGTTCAAACAGGGTAAAATACAGTCTCGTCTCCAAACAGCTGAAAGCAAAACTCGGGAGGAAATCAAGCACGCGGAGCTCACGTATCACTTAGCACCTAATGCAAAAAGCGCTCCCCTTCGAGAAACTGAAATGAGCCACGCAAGGAGCTGGTCACCGGCGGGTGGCTTCTGAGTGCCGGTAAGAAAATATATCAGGGAAACCCAGAGCGTAAAGGGATCGTAACGCTAGAGAGGTTTGGGATGCGGCGGAAATACTCCTCACACAATGAGGCAAATCAACCCCATTAAAGGACATTTGCGCTGAGGAGTTGTTATCAATCACTCTCCCTCGCTTTCTTTGTGCGTAAAGGCTATTAAGCAATTATTTTGATAACTGGAGCTTTGTTACTGGCTCTTCGTTTTTGGCACAATTTTGTTCCTCATATAAAACCCACTTTAAAGCGATGTTTAAAGATCGCTTTAAGTATGTGCACAAGTGTTTTCCTGAGCAGGAGATTCAAATTTCTGTGTAAAAGCATAAACCATAAAAATGATACCCACGAAAATGTACATTTTTATCCCCAAAAGCCAGGTTCTCCCTCCGCCACAGATCTATGCCCAAACCTTCTACCGACATTTTGCCGTAGGCGGAGCAGTGTCCGTATCAAGGCAACGTCATGGATTTAGTTCCACTTTTTTATTATTCAACTTTTTATACATAATAAATACAAACTTTTTACAGCCAATATAAAGAAAGCATTTGCACCGATGCTTTCAGTGTACTGACGCTGTACACGATGATACGTTGAATACATGCCCTGTATGAAGAAATCATAGTTAAAAAGGAGGCATATTTTTTACAACTTTTCTTCTTTTTTTGCTTTTTTTTTTTTAAATAAAATTAGCAGCTCTTACAGAAAATATTTTAAAATACAACTAAAGAGACTTTAAATAACACTTTCTGAATTTTGAAAGTCCAGGTATGAAGGACACAGAAAAACTGGCCAAAGAAATTGAACATGAACATTATGGCAATACTTGCTTATCTTCTGCATTGTGAAGCTTTCAAAATTTTTGCAAACAGTTAAATCTTTTTTAAAAACTTTTTTTTTTTTTTTTTTTTTTTTTAAACTTAAGAATAAGTTTGATAAACACATAAAAAGACCTCAAACAGATCAACAGGACAAGAGGTGCAAAAGAATGAAAAATATGGAAAAGACTTCATCGGACAGTCACTGATTTCATAACTGCTCCATGAATTTGTTTTCTTCAAACAGCCCCACTCTTGGTTAAAGATCCCACTGGGAAAGGAGATTGGCAAACACGAATGTCTCAGAGACCCAGCTTGGGTTGGGATTTACAAGTATGTGCAAAGTTTATGATAAAATCTTGTTAGATGATTTTTTTATTTTTTTTTGTTTGCTTTTTTGTAAATGCAGCCTCAAAAAATAGCCCTTGTTAGTAAACTAAAGGTAGAAAACTTACTGGCTTAGGAAAAAAAAAAAAAAAGAAGACATAAGAGCGCATTCAATAGAACCCATATAACAGCTCAAAAAAACCCAACCTTGTGATGCCTTTTAACTGAAGCTTTGATCTGATGGAGATGGCTGAAAATAATTTAGTAAGGACACAAAGAAAAACCTGTTTTCATCCAGTTTTTCCCTCTCCTCTGACCATTTCTCTCCATGTTACAACTCTGAATACCCTCTGCCCTTTCCAACAACAACCAAAAAAAAAAAAAAAAGCTTATTTTTCAGAGATCTCCGATTGAAAAGTACTTTTGAAATTCTTTCACTCTCTATTTTTTGCCTAAGAGCAATTTTGAGACCATAACCTTGGCCACAAAGGCGGTCTGAAGGCTTCGCAGAAACCAGAGCTTTTCCTGGCGCTCTGGCTTGGGCTAGTTAACGGGCTTCGCGTGGGAAAACGCTACAGGACCATCCAATGCAAAAACTAAATAATGCATGTAAATACTCTAAATGTAATTTCTAACTCTAGCCAGATGTTTTGATGACAAAGATATACTGCTAACGTTGGATAATAAAGTACACGGCAATAACTGGGATAAGAGTGACCCAAATACTTTAAAAAAAAAAAAAGAAAAACAAAAACCAAAACCCCCAAAATCTGCTAAGAAAAAAATGAAGCTCAATTTCCAGATCTAGACAAAACCTCACTTACTTTTCTACCAGTTGGTTTATGCTATGGAACAAGATGTTGCTACTAATTCAGCACCTCCATATTAGATACTCTATCACTAAATGTACTGCATAAATATTAATACAAAGAACATTTAGTTCTGTTTAACTGTTAATTATTGAAGAGGTGTGCATTAATGTAATTAACGCCATATGATCTGCATCAGTTTTCCTTATCTATAAGATTATTTTCCTGTTTCTTCCTTTCTGCAAGGGGATTAAAGAGGAGCCAGCCTCTCCTTATACTTATTTTTCAGTTCCCTTTTTCATTCCGCAAGATCTGATTAATACCTAATCAGACGAGTAATGCTACTTGAAGAATTGACAATCTTTAACACATTCCTATGGCAACAGTAATATACTGTACTAATGCACGTGATCGAAGTACGCTATGACTAAATTGCATGAATGAGGCTCTTTCCTCAGCCTCCGTATAAAAATTGACCATCTTCAGCCAAGAGAGAAACCTGCTCCGAGGCAATCCTCTGCTCGCTGTTTGGCCCATCTTGGTTTGTGCTAAGAGAGGAAGAATGACGTATACAAATCAAAACAAACAAACAAACAAAAAAAAAAAAGGCACAAAATATTCATGACCGTGGGAAGGAATCCACCATGTCACTGCCACATAAAATCCTCCCTATCTCTTGCTCTATTAAAAGTCTTCATCATGCAAAGGTGCCTAAAAACGAGATCGACCAAATACCGCGTTTGGTCTTGATTGTAGCACTACTACTTAACTAGTCCAAGCGTTACACCAGAGTAATTTCCACGTCCTCTATCTTCTCTGTTGTCCGGCGATGATGCTGTGTAGGGGGTGGTGGAGCTGCTCGTACCTGAAACAGCCAGAACCAGCCTGTAACTATCAGAAAACTGTCAAACTTTCAGAACTTGGACAGGCTAAAACTGCAACTTTGGGCTTATACCTCAAGATGATGCAAATATACAGATTGTGTATTAAGATCAACAGAACTACAGCGAGTAACCAGCTGAATTCAGGTCCAGCCGTCTCCAATTAAGCCATGAAGGCTCTTCGTTATCAACTGCCACCACCCTCAGGTGACTTTTCTCCAGGATGACAAGCAGTCACCACGGGGCAAACACACCGAGGGAAATAACCTGCTGTGCCTGGACCCATGGATAATCCCGTACGTAAATCTGGGACAGACTCTGGACTTTACATCAAACAAAACCTGATGACACCTTTGCCTGGAACTTACGTGGTTTGGAAAGCACAAGATGCCTTCTGTATCTAAGTGGCTGATTCGTATTCAATCAATCGCTGACCTGAATGATATACGCCTGAAATCTGATGCGATTTTTACACTCTGCCGCATCAATAAAGTGATTATTGCTCCTGATACAGATTACCTTAAGCATTTCATGCAGGGTTTTTATCACGTGATTTCAGAAAACACCAGTGTGATTTGCTCTGGAAAATGTGAATACCAGAACAAACTTCACAATATTTTCAAACCAGGCATATTTAAAATGCAATACTAACAGAAATCCTTTCAATTAAGGCACGACACTGTAGTAATACCTTGAAAAGGCAGTAAATTTCAAGAAAATAGAATTCTACAAAACGGAAAAGCTGATTCAGTGTATTTTTAGAAGGGAATAAGACAACGTGAAATTTCTCTGTTCAATACTTAAATACTCAATGATGCAGTCCTACGTCTGCCTCGCATATGTCAATGAATAAGGCTAACTCACCGATTACTGGAATATTCAGAATATAATTTCCAAATATCCAAAAGAGCTCTTGGTCTGAAACCTCATCCATTGAGAATGCCAGGAAAATACAAATATTACATCCTAATATGATTTGGCTTAGGACTTTGAAATGCCCCAAACTTGATTTCAAAGTTAATCCCAGGAGATGGATTTTTGCAAAAACTTTTTGCAAAGTTCTAAGTGATTAAATTCTTTCTTTCCTTTCTGGGCAGAATCTCTCTTTTTAGGCAGCAAAGACATCACAAAATGTATAGACCTTAACATTACGAATTTTTAATCCAAACCCCTCCAATCAAGGGGTTCGGAAATAAATTTAACCCTAAATGCAATCGAGTGCCAAGGACCGTGTATGACATCAAACTGCTGGCCAGCAGATTTGTCTGCCAGCACATTGGAGAAGAAGCAGTTGTACAACTCGTATGATTAAACAGCTCTGGCATTTATTCACCACCTCTTTTTTAGTTCTGTTTAGGGGTTACTACAGTGGCAAGAACAGAAACGATCTCCCAATGCCCGAGAAGGCAGCGTAAGTTTATCGACTACCATCTATTTCGCTGTCATTATAGCTGTAATTTCCTCCCAGGTTAGATTTCACGATTCATACGCCTCACAGAGAGACATGCAGGTGTGACATCTACGAAGGCAGATACAGAAGGGCAGGTTAGATGAAGGACAGGGGATGGATAAGATTCAAGGTCATCTTTAAACACAGGGACTTGCTGTTTAAACAAGCGCAGCTTTGTTGTGTTCTAGTGTTCACTTCATCTCGAATAGCTCTCATGTCCTACAGCTTTTTGACACGTCTGTGGTATTATCAGAGGGGAGCGAACAGACCTTTCCTCGCAGTATTCACCTGAGATACCGCGGTTTTACACACAGTGATTGGATTTGCAGAACACCGAGCGCCAAATCATCAGGTGCTGTATCACCACCCTGCTCTGAACGTACCCATCCCAATTTACCCAGGCTTGGCCTTAGAACTTTGTAGCATCGATAAAAACAACAGCAAACAGTACTTGTTTCTCACTTACAGGTCGCAGTTTGCCATAGGAAGTTTCGGGAGGAATCCGCGGAGGCTGTGAGAATCCAGGGGACTCTGAACTGAAGCTGTTTTCTGAAAGAGTAAGCAACAACCCATCACAAACACGCCGCTCGGTATTGCTGGATAAACTTTATGTTGCCAGAAAAAAAGGTGTTTTGTTTTGTTTTTTTCTTTTCTTTCCCCTCTGAAACGTGAACAATCTAAATCAAGCAATTAGCTGAAATGTTTCTTTTGGTATCACAAAATTTCTTACCGTTAGTTGACGGTGATCTGGGGAAGTACTGAGAACCTCTTTTATCCGGACTGTGGTAGGGACTAGTGGGTGGCTGGTCATACAGCGGCAGCGGTGGAAGGGCATTATTAGGCTTCGGAGTCGGGGATACCTGAGTTAAAAAGAGAGAGGGGCTGCAGAAAGCCTTACACCTCGACAGTTTTTACGTCGAGGTGCAGTAGGTTCACTGGCTCATCGGAATGCTAGGAACTTTCATCCAGAGAAAAACTACGTGGCAAAAGCGCTGTCAGGTACGTTTGGGAAGGAAAGCCAAGATATCCAACTGTGATTCTGTGTTTTTTAAATCATAGGTTGCCACTGAGCAGAAATTTTCATCCTCTCCCAGGTAATTTAGACAGACTTTTTGAAGGTTATCTGAAAAAAGTCATTTGGCCAAGTGTGCCTCTCCACATATAGTCACACAAAAGCGTTAAGATCATGAGTTTTATCCCAACTCAACGGCATATGTATCATTCCAATGTTAAGTTTTTATGATCTTCTCAAATCAAAGAATAAAAATACTGGAGAAATTACTTTGTAGAGAACAGGGAAGTCCACTTTCTAGCACCGCAATTGCACATGAGAATGTGTCTGATTTTCTAGTATGACATGAGGATTACAAAACTATACTGGAATGAGGACATTTTTGCAAAAATTACTGTAATATAATACTCGGCAGCATTCTGCCCTTCAAAAATGGAGAGGATACAGAATAGATTTAAGTATGAAAACATTAAATTAGGGCTGAGAGAACTTGTAATTCTCTTTTTGCCAGGTTCTGTTTGATGTCTCAGTCTATGCCATAAATTAATTATGGGAAGTAGACTGTGAATTTTCTCCTTTGGTTCATTTCCTTTCTACCCAAATACCTGCCTTTATTCACAAATCTCTTACATTTGCCAAAATGTATCAGTTGATAATTATTAGGCTGTGTAAGAAACTAAAAAGTAAGCACTCAGGGTTTGTTGTTTTTGGTTTTTTTTTTTTCTTTTCTTAAATTGGTTGTGATTTTTTTTTTTCTAAAAAAAGCAGCAGATGTTTGCAGCCTGGAAAAATTGCCGTAACAAACGAATAGCATACGTGTAAGCTAGCACCTTGACTCTTTACATACCTGAATATCACCAATCCACTGAGTCTCTCCGTTCTCTGAGGCCGTAAGCTCTTCAACTAATACCGATGGGAACACCCCAACGCGTCCGTTGAATTCTCCTTCCCAAAAGCCATCATCATCTTGATTCTCCTTGTTCAAGATGCGGATGATCGCTCCTTCCGGGAAGGACAGCTCATCATCTGTTTGGCCCTCGTAATCATAAAGTGCTTTTACAAAACAGACTGAAGAATGGAAGAGGAGAAATAAAAGTGTAATTGGTATAAGCTTAAAAAAAATAGTAAGTACTACAGATACTTCTACGGTTGGGCTCAATGATCTCAAAGGTCTTTTCCAACCTAAGTGATTGATTCTATGATTCTGTACCTGCTGAGTCAAATTATTTTAGTTGTCCTGAATTTTAGTTAATGTTAATCTCAACTCTATGAGATAGCCAGGTAAACTATGCAGATTTGATACGAGATTATTACTGAGAACAGTTGTACTCAGACACAGGTCAAATAAGAGAAATTCTCATGTGCTTCATCCAAACTCGATATGAAGAATGCTTTCAAGAACAAACTTAGCATACTATTTATTTATGTATTGGTATTTACCACTGGAGTCTCCATTCAGGCTGCCCGAGACTAAGTCAGCCTCAGTGGAATTATTTGAGGTGTGCGATCGACTGTCCAGTGCCGCAAGGGACTGTAGCATACTCAGCAGGCTGCTGGATGTCGGGAACTGCAGGTACTTCTCTGGCACATAACCCACTTGACCTGCTTTATTCCGTGCCTGGAAATAAATGACAGAAAAGATGCTCTGCTTTTGCATGCTACTCTGAAAAGAATCCAAATACTTTCTCCCATCCCAAGTTCTATTTCTAAAAGTAATAGCGAAAAGAAAACAATCTCAGAAGAATGATACCTTTACCCAGTCTTCCATATCTCCGTCTTCAATAACCTCCAATACCTCATGCTCCTCTATGGTCAATTCGTCGGGCTGAGAAGCCTGAAGTATATAACAGGAAGATTAGAAAATAAAAGTGTTTTCAGGTGCACGGAACAGGCAGTGTAAAGAACATTCTCATCCAGACTTTTATTAAAACTTAGGTTTTTTAAAAAATTGAAGATTTTACGCTGTAGCATACTTTTAAAACATATTAATAAGGGTTTTTCTGGGTACCTACTCACATTCACAAGCCCCTTTTCAGTCAAGAGGATACCCCGAATACCACCCAGCGCGTCAAACCCTATTTACTTTTGAAACCCTAATTACTCCGTACTCTAAGTCTGCCCGTGGCTTCGGCTACCGCAGCGGAGTGATTTACAACTGACCGCGCAGTGCTAGCAGAAGTAAATAGCGTGAATGGAGTTTGTCAGCAAAGCTTTAACTCATGAATGGCGGTTTCACTATTACAGGACAAAGAGGAGCTTTGTCGCACGGCACACAAGCACGCCTAACACCCAGAAGGCATTTCGGATATAGCCACACCGGCTCAGCAACGAAAATTGGAAGATCTTCTAATGGCAGGTACACAACGGGTCTCCTGGAAGCCAGACAGGGACGTCTCTACATGCTGCAATTCCTGCATGGACTTCAGTACTCTGCAAACCGTAGTTTAAATGTGTTTCGCAACGGTACGGATTTTACACTGCTGCAGTTTTGCACAGCTAGATGTTAGGATATATTTAATGTGCACCATTATTGAGCCAAACGCTAACGTTCTACCTCAAACTCCCACTGAACAGTTACATTTATTAGTTGTTTGTTGCATAATTCATTTTTCTTATCAAATTTTAAAAATAAAAAATAAAATCACAAACCTTATATGAATAAACAACTTTGCAGGTGAGCGGGTAATTCCTTAGAGTACCAGAAGGACTAGAACTACTGTCATCAAAAACATCCATGTTGTCTTCAAACTCTTCACCTTCCTCCTTTTCTGCATCAGCATTAATCTATTAAAACAAATTTAATTTAGCATTATACCATCAGATAAAAATAAGGGAAGAAGTAAACAATACAAATGAATTGATCTTTTTTTTTTTTTTTTTAATATACACTGTGGAACAGCGGCTAATGTACTTTGGAGATGTCATTTCAGAGCAATAACAAATAGTTTAATGGAAAAAAAGAGTCACTTACTGAGAATTTGTGCTATTAAAAGATTAATGTACCTATGACCATGAGTTATCAAATGAAACTGCAGTAGAAATACTTAAACATGAAAAAAAAAAAAAAATCTGCCTTCCAGCTGGTATATTCTGCACCAAATTGATTCGCTGCAGTTTATTAAAAAAAAAAAAAAATCCTTAGAGAAAAAGACTGATGATTAAAAACTAGCTATAAAAGCTTAAATAAAAACGGAAGTGGATACACTGGACAAATACAAGTTTCTCTAAGTGTAGTTTGGGCAACATTGACATGAGCTGTGCTTTGGCCTTGTGCCTGGATTAAATTGTGAATAAACGCTTTATCTCCTGTGAAAACAGGCAAATCCTTCGAATCAAAGGCAACGCTGTTATGTAATTGCCATCTTCCCCTTCTTTATTCCTTTTAATTTGGGACTGAATTTGGTATGCCTCGTGAAAACTAAAAGGCTGATAAATCACCAGAAAGTTAGGCTGAGACCAAAAAGGCACTGTGCAGGCTCTCTAAACCAGCTGGCTCCGCACCTCTGCTCCGTAACATCTTCGCTCTTCTAGACTTGGAGTAGAAGAGCACAAAGCTTCATCGTTTTCTGACTCAGATTAATTTTTACGTTATGATTTCTAGGCTACGTCCTTGTAATTCATATGATTTTTTTCCCCCCACTCATTTTCATTCAAGTGCAGTTCGCAGCCGTTGCTACTTAAATGCGTTAAAGGATGTTGCGGTAACAAAAAAATAAAATAATCGCTGTCCCACCTAGCTAATGCTTTGATATATTACTGACCAACTCTAAATTATGGCAAATTTAAGGTTTCCCCCTCCAGTTTGTAACTGCTTTTTGCTGTGCATGGTCTATGTCCCAGCAGCCAAAGCTGACGTTCAGCCGACAGCCGCACGAGACATCATGGAAATTAGTGTATCATGTCTAGAAAGACTCGTTCGTAAAACATCTGGTCCCGGTTTTCTAACACGAGGAGGAAAAATACATTTTCATTTTCAGTGTGTGGGCTGCTCAAACTCCTTGAATAGAAAGATTTGCAAAGTAGGCACACAGAGAGAAAACGGCATTAATGATGCAGAAAACTTAGCGGTTTGTTTTGTAAAGCTCGTCTTTCTACGGAGTCTGGTAATGAAACACCGTAAGCAAAGAATAAATACATTGGCCACAATTATACCGAAGGTGTGGAAGAAACACAAGAATAAATGCAGGTAAGAAGGTGACCAGATAGTTTGATTATACATGTGACAAAAGCTATGCTATATCTTGTGTTGTTGCATATCCTATACAAAAAGAGATTCACTACCAAAAAAATATACCAAAAGTCCCTCGGAAATGCAGAGACCCTGGCAACAACAGAGGACACATTCATACCGAACCACTTCCTCTCCGATTTGGATGTGTGACCTGTAGGGGCTTAAAAAAAGCTGAAATTTCCTTCCAGTTCACAAAGAGAGCGGTCTGCCGGAGCGCCCAAAGGTGTCGCTCGGTCACCATTTGCAATACAGGTGTTTAGGGACCGAAAGTACAATTTTTCACACAGCTTGCTGGTAGCAGGTGACAATCAGGTTTGAATATGATCTAACAGCTGAAAGATGGTATAATTTTGTACAGTTAAAAGACGCTGTATCACTTCATAGTTAAGAGCGTCCATTTTTGGGGCATGTACGCTGGCAAAAAAAATATAAAATCTATTCCCTCCCAAAATTGTGCGTTTCATCATTGTATCAGAAAGTCAGCCAGCTGGATCGGTGACGGGATATTAACTCCTTCAGCTCGTTATAATATTGCAGCAGGTTAAATAAATACAGTGATATCAACCACTGAAGTTGCTTTCTTCTTTTTTAGCTCTTTGAAAGAAAATATATCAAGAGCTTTGCTGAACAAATTCTGTCGTGAGAAATACCGGCACAGGACGTAAGGATGGCAGACAGCTGGTCTCTGAACATTCAACACTGCCCATTCATCAAAGTGGCTTGTTAGACGCTGCAGTAATTCTTTTAATAATTGCAAGCAACGTCATTTCGGTAACGGTTCTAAGAATTCCATCTACGGGCTGTCCTCATTTGGCCTGCCAAGGTCAACAGCATCTTTTTTTTTTTTTAATACGGGAGCATACGTAAGTGTAAAAGGGGAAAATAAGAATCAGAGTTTAACCTCCCACGCTGTGGCATCTGCTGGCTCGCCAGGGACTAGCACGGGGTTTGGCTCCGGGGCCAACCGCTGGCATGTCTGATGAGACCGAGAACAAGGTACTGGGTGGGATCCAACGTGCACGACAGGAAATTAAAGGAGGTGGAGTACAAGAAGAAAGGGAAAAAACACTGTTAAACACAGCAGTGTAACACATCCTCGTCCACCCCGGCTAGAAAGGATCTGAAATGAAACTCGGCACGAGAACTCCTTTGGGATTTGGGAAGGGTGAAGCTTGGATCTGCATGCTCCAAACTTTAATCTCTAATTGTACTACTAACCACGGGAATAAAGCCTGCAGAGAGACTGCGAATCACTGTCGCTGGGTTTGAGCTCTGCGTGTAACTTCCCAACGCCCTGAAGAAAGGCAAGAGCGGAGTCAGGAGTCTCAGGATTTGCTGAGACCCTATTCAGCGCTCGCTCACTTTTTTGAACTAAAATTGAGATAGATGAAAATATCTGGACACATAAAAAATCCCTCTAAGGAAAGGATTTCCCACCATCACCAAGAAAAAGATTAAGAAGCAGAAAAGCACGAAGAAACATGGGAACGAGCCGGATTTTTTTGTGTGTAGATACCACGTACTTGCTGAAATGGAGATTTTGTTTCTTTTGGGCGGTCAGTGAAAGCAAACCGTCCTCCAAATCATTCGCAATGCCACAAAAAACCCCCATCCTCATTCCCCCTGAGAGTTTTGTTATACAGAAGATATATTCTGGCTGTCCAAAGCGTTTAAGATTAAAAAGAAAGCGTGAATTAAGTAATTATGAAAACTATAGTTGGGAAAGTATCCACAAGCAAACCGAGACTTTACAAAAGCCTCTGAATTTTGTTAAATATTAAATATATAAACACACAGAAAATGCAAAGATTTTTGGAGGCTGACTGACTAAGCCCTCAAATTTACAACTGAGCAAAAAAATCGTTACCAATCTTGCACCGATCAAAGTCGCTTTTCGTTCACTTTTGGGTACATTGGATGAAATTTTCAGAAGAGCCTTCGGACACAGTCAGACATACTCACACAATTGAATTTAACAGTTTTAAGAAGTTACCGACTCTTGGGATGAAATGCAGTAAGTAATCAGGTTTGTGCTCTGTTCCAATTTAACTTCTTTACTGCTATAAGTGAAACTAGATATTCCTATAGAAAATGTCAAATATTTACTGTATCTCAGATAACAGGGCAGTAACTTGCAGGTGAACAGCAGTACCATCTAAATCTACGACAAACCTTTGAGGGAAACACCTAGCCCTGTGCACGGAAACGGACCGCCTGTTTTCCAGAGCCTTTCACTGTTTTTTAATGAATCAAATTTTAATCTCAAATATCCAAATCAATTTGGAAAACAGGTTCAGTTTTCCTGATGACTACAACTGCGATCTGCACGTAAACGACTCTTGAAGAGATGATGTAGAGTCTACAGTTTTCTAAACGTTTGGAATAATAAAACCTTTCATCCAAGTACCTCAGATAACATCGTAAACTATTAATGAAACTTCAAAGAAACACACAGACATTTTTCTTTTCAGGAGACGGCAAATAAACGCTATGGCACTTATCCAAGGTCAGAAAAATCAATCTAAAGTAAACTCAGCAACAGAACACAGAAATCTTTTTTCTTTCTGTTTCTTTTTTTTTTTTTTTTTGGTTTCTTGCATGAAATTCAGACTCATGCTTCAGCCACGTAAAGCTACAAGATTTTCCTGGTTAGCCAACCAACTAAATATTATCCATTTTGGTTTATATTCAGTACAAAGTTAGGAGTTGCTACTAGGAAAGAGCCACGTGGAGACGAGGAGAGGTTTACAGGTTGGAAGCCGTACCAGGTGTGAAGAGCCGTTGTTGGTCACCGAGGGCAGGCTGGCCCAGCGCTCATTTTCCAGTTCTTCCATCACTTGGTTCATCGCGCTTTTTAGCCACGTATCCACAGACACACCGATCTGCTTCAGCAGATCGAGACGGGCTTCCGCTTTCAGCTTAATTATCTGAGGAAATAAACACGCCACAAGTCAGAATTCTTTCAAGATTACATTTCACTCCTCGCAACGATTCAAATGCGTTTTATTTCCTGATCCACAAATTACTCAGGTGGCTCCGAAAGCTGCTCCGTGCAGAAACGAGTCCAGTTCTTCATTTCCTTGCCTGCAGGAACGCGGCGTGAGCCAAGAGACAGGGAACAGTTTCCTAGAGATATAAAACTACAGGCACAGCCAACTTCACAAGTCGGTGTTTTTAAAATAACATCCATTAGTTTGTGCTAACTTTCTATTCATATATTCTAACGGTCAGTTAGTTTAACTTATTTTCCAAGTGCAAAACCCCAGACAAAATCCAGTGTTTCACAGTATTTTTAAAATCCGAGATATTCCTGGGCTGCAGACCCTGGGTGCCCTCTCAGCTGGTGACTAAACTGGATGTGATACACAAATAAATCCGACGTGATACACCCCCC